AGTGAGTAGTGTGATGCTGTGCTTTTAAGTGGTGTGTTTTGTTCTGGTTTCTTTTAGAGAGAGATTGAGAGACAGGTCCTGAGCAGTCTATGAGAAGAGACTTGTGAAGCCTTGGATTTTTTTTAAAGTTGGAACAATAGAAGCATCCTGAATGGCTGTGGTCAAGCTCCCACCCACAGAACCAGGGATTTTAGGTTTAGCTTTTAGCAGCAGTTGGTGTTGAGATCTTGAAGTGGAAGCTATTTTTCCTCTTACTCAATTACAGCCAAAAGCTGGGGGTTCTCTTCCTGGGCCACTAGATTGCATGTGAGACAAAATCTGTTTTCTGAATTTGCATTTTGCCAAGGGTGTGTTTATGGGATGTGACTATATTGGAACAGTTAATTAGTAATAGTTACTGTATATATCATTCTATTAACTCTATTGGAACACTTAAGTTATTCCAAGTTCTTCTTTCTTTTGTGTTTTAACTATGGTGTTTGAATAAATTTGTGTATTGCTTAATATCGAATAGTTTGACCAATCAAATTGCTTCTGGAACATAGCACCTGACATTTATCTAAGAAAACGTTAGGGTCTTCGCTGTCTCTTTCTTATATTTTGAGGGGGTCTGGTCTGGTCCATAACCGAGCATGATGGAATAGTCTGGATGAGTGCAACAAAACCTGAAGAATCAGGATGGAGTATACTGCTTTATTGGCTCCAAATCCAGATTCACTCCCTTCACCTCTGCTGCATGGCAGCACCAGTATGTACCACCCACAAAATGCCCTGCAGAAATTTACCACGGTTGTTGAGAGACCATCTTGAAAAACCACGACCATTACCATCTCAAAGGACAGGGCAGTAAGTAGATGGATACACACAAAACTGCATGTTCTCATATGACCATAGATAGAAATAGGAGCAGAATCAGGTCATTTGGCCCATGGAGTCTGCTTTGCCATTCAGTTATGGCTGATATGTTCTCAACCCTATTCTCCTGCCTTCTCCCTATAACCTTTGATCCCTTACTTATTAAGAACCTGTCCATTTCTAATAAATACCCTCAATAACTTAGTCTCCACAGCCTTCTGCGGCAGTGAATTCCACAGACTGACCACCCTTTGGCTGAAGAAATTCCTCCTTGTCTCAGTTCTGAAGGATCGTCCCTTCACTCTGAAGCTGTACTAGTCTTTCCTACTATTGCAAACATCTTCTCACGTCAATCTATCCAGGCCTCTCAGTATTCTGTAACTTTCAATGAGATCCCCCTAATCCTCCTAAACTCTATTGAGTACAGAGCCAGAGTCCTCAAACTGCTCCTCATATGATAAGCCCTTCATCCCCAGGTTCATTCATATAAATATTCTCTGGAGCCCCTCCAATGCCAACACGTGCTTTCTTAGATGCAGAACCCAAAACTGCTCACAGTATTCCAAATATGTTCTGACCTGGGCCTTATACTGCCTCGGCAGTACATCCCTGCTCTGAGAAATGATCACTGGACCTTCACAGATCCTGCCATACCTGCTGAGCTTTTCCAGCAACTTTGTTTTTGTTCCTGATTTACAACATCCGCAGATAACAAGGTGTAGAGCTGGATGAACACAGCAGGCCAAGCAGCATCAGAGGAGCAGGAAGGCTGATGTTTCGGGCCTAGACCCTTCTTCAGAAATCTCTTACAACATCCGCAGTTCTTTTGGTTTTTATCCCTGTTCTTCTGTTCTAGTCCTGTCAAAATGAATGCTAGCATTACATTTGCCTTCCAAACTGCCAACTAAACCTGCATGTTAACCTGAAGAGAATCCTGAACGAAGTCTCTGAAATCCCCTTGTGCTTCAGATTTCCAAAACCTTTTCCCATTTAGAGAATACTCTACACTTGTATTCTTCCAACCAAATTGCACATAAACTGATGTTTTCCCAGCCACCATCAGTTCTGAGGAAGGGTCACCGGACCCAAAATGTTAATTCTGTTTTTTCCTTCACAGATGCTGCCAGACCTGCTGAGCTTTTCCAGCAACTTTGTTTTTGTTTCAAATTGCAAAGCCTCACATTTTACATGATTGTGTATTCCAGCTGCCACTTCTTTGCACAGTCTCTCTGTCTGTCCAAGCCTTTTTCAGCTTCCCACCTTCCTCAACACTACCTGCCCATCCACCTATCTTTGTGTCATCTGCAAACTTTAGCAACAATGCCCTGAGTTCCTTTGTCCAGATTGTTAATGTACAACATGAACAGTTGTGGTCTCAACACTGACCCCTACGGAACTTCACCAGTCACCCACTGCCATCCTGAAAAAGACCCCTTTATCCCAACTCTTCTTCTGCCAGTCAGCCAATCCAGTACCTTGTCCCTATCACCATGGGTTCTAACACCTCTCCAAGCCACTCACCGTTCTGGCTTGGATTTATATCAAAATCCCTTCAGTGTAGCTGGGTCAAAGTCCTGGAACTCCCTACCTAATAGCACTTGTAGGAGTGCCGACAACAAATAGACTGCAGCGTTTCAAGCAGGTTGTTCACCATCACCTACTCATGGGTAAATAGACATTTACAATTTGTGCTGGCCCCAGCCAGAGATGCCCATGTCCCATGAAAGAGAAAAAACCTGTCAGTCTCCATTTAAATGGATTTCTTAGGCAATGTCAATCTGCCTGGGTTTAACATTTAACCAAAGCTTTGCAGATAAATATTAATCAATATTAATGGGTATTCACTGTGTCATGACATAATTATCAGTTGGAGTCCACTTTGTAACTAATCAATTTTAAGTTTTGTGAAATGTCCTGATCAGTGCAACATGTAAAGTTTTCAGCAATATTCGAATTATCCTAAAATAACTAGAATTATATTACGACAAAAGCATAGAGGGTCAGGTGTTCCTAAAATGTGTTCCGGATATTTTCCATGAGTATGTTACCATTCCAATGATTAAGGAACCACTACTGTATCTGAATCGAGTGAATTATGTGAGGAAGATTTATCATTTTTAAAAAAATTCTTATTGGTATTTTAGAATCACTGGCATTTGATACTATTAGGTTATTTCCCCTGATAATTCCTTGTGAATAGCATTAAAGCACTGTTTCAGAACTGTGTCCCTTGCAAAATGTTGTGGAATTGACAGAATTGATGTGGCAAAGAGAAGAATGTGAATCCTTCCAAATCCAGTAAACGAGGAAGAATAAAACAAAAGTAAACTATAAAACTTCGAAAGCTGGACATGTAAAACAAATAAAACCTGGAGACATTGCTGGAGAAACTCAACAGATCTGGCAGCATCTGTGGAGAGAAAACAGAGTTAATGTTTTGGTTCCAGTGACTCTTCTTCAGAACACTAGAAAATAAGAAAGAATGTGTACAGTCGCTCTCAGTGAATGTAGTGTCATTGGAGATGGTGACATAGTAGCAGTATTGCTATGCTTGTTATGTAAAACACCAGCCTCATGTTTTGAGGATTATGAGTTCAAATCCCACTTTAATGTGTGGAGAAATTTAGATTCAATGAAATCTGGAATTAAATGAAAAACCATGTAATTGCTGTGCTTTGATTAAAAAGCCCATTGGATTATTAATTTTCTTCAGGAAGGAAATCTGCCATTCTTACTTTGCCTAGCCTCCATGTACCTCCAGAACGTCAGGGTGGCAAAGTGGCTCAGTAGTTAGCACTGCTGCCTCACAGTGTCAGAGACCTGGGTTTGATTTCATCCTCAGGTGACTGTCTGACAGGAGTTTGCATGTTCTCCCTTTGTCTGTGTGCTCTGGTTTCCTCCCATAGTCTAAGCCTGTACAGGTTAGGTAGGTTGGCCATGCTAAGTTGCCCATAGTGTCTAGGGTTTTGCAGGCTAGGTGGTTAGCCATGGGAAATGCAGGGTTACAGGGATAAGGTGGGGGGTACATCTGGGTGGGATGACCTTTGGAGGATTGATGTGGTCTCAATGGGCTGAATGGCCTGCTTCCACACTGTAGGGATTCTATGTAGTTGACACTTAACTGCCCAATGCGTAATTAGGAATGGGAAATAAATGTCAGTATAGCTAGCAATGCCCACATCCCATGAACAAATAAAACAATATTAATTTTTTAAAATTTATTCATCGAATGCCATGGCATTCATTGTCCACCATTGATTGGTCTGTAAATGAATGTAAAGAATGATGTTGGATAGATACTTCAGGGCAAAAACCTTGATTGGGAAAAATAATTGGAACTGGAAATTGACTGGACTGCCTGACAAAGAATCAGTTTGCCAATTTTAAAATAGTCTCTCAAGAACGTTAAAATCACTCGCTTGTCTAGTATTTATTGTATATTCCTAACTGCCCCTGAGAAGTGGTGCTGACTTGAACTGCTGCAGTCCATTATCCACCCACAGTGCAGTGCAAACTGTGCTGTGTACCTGACCCCTGTGTTTAAAAAATGAAAATTGCTTGTAAAGTCACACGTGTCAGGTGCGCAGTTTGCAAACCATGAAGGTGTACAGTTTGCAAACCATGAAGGTGTACGGGCCTTATTTTTCTAACCTCAGAATGAAATTTGCTTCCATGTACTTTGAAATGTTGTTCAGTAAATAAGGGCTAATTTTGACATAATAACCCATAATTGAAGGGATGTTTTGGAAGTTTAACAAAAGGATTATCATTAGTGGATGCGAATCTGAAAGATCACTGTTCTCTGATCAGTTATTCCTAAATGAGCCTTTATTCCAATTTGTTTTGGATGTGCACATCATATTGTATTGGGGAGAAGAAGCACGGACTATTCTACCCTTTTGTCACATGAAAAGCTCAACAAGAGATTGTAAGAGAACATTCTTATGAGTAGGAAATGGATCCTACCATGCCCAGAAAGCAATGGTTAATATAATTAAATGTGTAGAATTTTCAGGTTTGCTATCAAAAGAACTCCAATCAATGAAGATAATGAAATTATTTTATCAAAATACTTATATTTACTCTTTTTTACAAAATTGTACATATGTGTGGTTAATGTAACCAATATTTCATTCAATTTTCAGATCACAGAAATGGTTGTAGCAGTGAAAACCTTTTCTGCATTACAAAATTCTACAATTGAAGGAATCGAGATTCTGGCAATCAAATTTCAGAATATCTATCTAAATTTGAAGAAGAGTCATTATGATATTCTAGATCCTCGGAAGAAAGAGTTCAATTCAGACTATGCTGTATTCATGAAACAAATATTTGATTTAGAGGTAAAAGCAATCATAAGCATATATTCCATTGGTGAACCATAGCTAATTTTGCCTGAGCAAATTCAATATACCCTACTTTTTTTTTTAGTCAAATCTTCTATAATTAAGGAGGGGTCACTATCACAGGATCATCACAGGATGATGTAATAGTGAGAATTTCCCTGGATTGGATAGTCTAAAATAAGGAGTTATAGATTTGGGATTAAGAATAGAATATGCAGTAGAAAATTAATACTTCTGGCAGGATCTGTGGAGGGGGAAACAGAGTTAATGTTTTGACTCTAATATGAATTTTGTTTGGAACTGAAGAAAGGTGGAGATGTTATGAGTTTTATGCAGTTGAAAAAGGGAAACTGGTCAATTAGAACTGAAGGGAACATCAGGAAATAGTTAGAGGATGAAGGAGATTAAGTATCAATGATGTCATGGAACAAAAGGCAAAGGGAGTGGTAATGATGGTAGAGAACATAGCAAGGCATTGGTGTAGAGTCGGTGTTGGTACAGAATAATGGTCATCTCTGAAAAAATAAACTAGATACAGCCTCTGGGTGAAATATTGCCAGTATGTGTTTCTTATTTTCACGTTCTTGCTTTCATTCAGAGCTGACCTTTATTCTCCACAAAACCCTCCACATTTGATCCTGAGATAACACAGTGTGGAGCTGGAGGAACAGCGGGCCAGGCAGCATCAGAGGAGTAGGAAAGTTGACGTTTTGGGTCGGGACCCTTTTTCAGAAAATCCTTCTCAGAACCAATCCAGTTCCCTGTTGAATGCCTTGATTGAACCTGCCTTGACCATACTGAGAGGTGGTTTCCCACTCAGTGTGGGGAAAAAGGATTTTCTTTATGTTGGCATTGCTTCTTGTGCTAATTACCTTAAATCTATGCAGTCTTATTCTTGATCATTCCACCAACGGGAACAATTGTTCGCTCTCCATTCTTCCCGATGCAGATTCCTCAAAATTTTATTGTCTCTACTAAATCTCCTTTCAGCTTCCTTTTCTCCAAGGAAAACAGCCTTAACTTCTCCAATCTGCTGATCTAACTTATGTTTCTCATCCATGGAATCATTCCTATAAACCTCTTCCACAGTCCCTTCAATGCCTTCATACCCTTTCTAAAGTCCAGAATAAGACACAGTACTCCATCTCAGTCCAAAGCAGTGTCCTATTTAAGTTTAACATTACTTCCTTATTTTTCATACTTATACTGCTATTAAATAAAACCTATTTGTTCAAATCTTCTGCCATTTCCTGGTTTACCATTATTATTTTCCCAGCCTCATCCTCTGACGGGACCTCATTCACTGTTGACTATTTAAAGGAGCTCTTTCTGTCTGTTTTGCTGTTATTTGTATCAGAGTTTATTTCTTCCATTTTATTGTTTTTTGGTTATCTTTTGCTGGTGTTTAAAACTTTCCCAACCTTCTGATCTATCACTAATCTGTGCAATTTTGTCTGCTTTTCTTTCAATTTGATGCTGTCCTTAACTGAAACAAAAACAGAAATTGCTAAAGAAACTCAGCACGTCTGGCATCATCTGTGGAGAGAAAACAGAGCGAGCATTTCTGAAGAAGGGTCACTGGACCAGAAACATTGCCTCTGCTTTTTCTCCAAGCAGACCTGCTGAACTTCTCCAGCAATTTCTGCATTTGTTTGTTTACAGTCAGCTGCTTTGAACCAGATATCAACTAAAAACTTCTTCCTTTACTAAACTCCTTGAGATGCTTCGCTCCTGCAGTCTACTGTAAGTCACACTTAAGTGGGTTCACAGCATATTGAGCCTATCTCACACAGTAAATGAGGTTTCTAGTTTCTAGTTCTCCATTAGGCTGTACCCTCAGTCCACCCCTTTGAAAGCTTACAATTATAGAATTTAAAAGCTGTTGATTTCTATTTAATTCACTTTAATTCTCTTTAAAAATCACAATCTAAATTAGGTTCACCCAATTTGAAGATTTGACACTTCCTTACTCCGCAAATGCACAGACTCGCTCCATGTTGGAGATTTGTGCTATCCATTTTTTTGGTGGAGGAGAAGAGAGTTAAAATGGTACATAAGTAAGGGGAGTTGGAGCTTTAATGAGATGGGGCTTTAATGAGCATGGAAATGAAGTAGTTAGCCCCTCTGTGGTGGGATTATAAAGTTCCCCTTTAAGCCTTGAGGGGAAAATTGGGAATTTTTTTTCTCAACTTTCAGAATCAGGTATTTTCATTCTAACCATATTTTACTAACTTTCTTGATTAGGGATGAGAAAACTCAGCCCTTCATGTTCTTTTTTCAAAGACAGAACTTTACTAAATAAATACTTTCAAATCAAACTGTTAGACTTTGGGAAAAACAGCCAGTCTTATCAATATCAACAAGAAGCAGAAGGACAGCAAATGCATGGGAACAGCACCACATGCCGGCTTCCCTCCCCACACTTCATTCTGACTTGGAACTATGGGCTGGATTTTTTCACTTTTTGACATTTTCCTCAGTAATACTGAGGCAGGCAGTCAACTGGCCCATGACAACAAGGTGCAGGGCTGGATGAACACAGCAGGCCAAGCAGCATCATAGGAGCAGAGAGGCTGACGTTTCGGGCCTAGACCCTTCATCAGAAAAGGGGGAGGGGAAGGGGGTTTTGAAATAAATAGGGAGAGAGTGGGAGGCGGATAGAAGAGGGATAGAGGAGAGGATAGGTGGAGAGGAAACAAACAGGTCGAAGAGGCGGGGATGGAGCCAGTAAAGGTGAGTGTAGGTAGGGAGTTAGGAAGGGGATAGGTCAGTCCAG